CCTTTGTGGTTTCTGGGTATTGTATTTTAGGTGGATTACATTATCATTCCCCAGCCAGTGGGTCCTAGGTCTCTGGAAGGCTGAATTTCATGATGCATCTTCTTTGCACAGCATACAATATTATATTATGCTGGTCCTGCAAATGCTGGGACTAGTTTCCTGTTTGTTTCTAGATGCAGTTTAAAGTGTTGGTAGTATCTCAGCAACCAACTCCTCCTATATGAGTTTGCCTGCTCCTTAAGACCTTCTCCATTTCCCAACAGTGGCAGAAGCGCATTTGGGTGGGACAAGTTGAAGGGCCTTCTCTGGGACCAGACCTAAATTCTGGAATTTGCATCCTTAGGAAACCAGGCTGGCACCATCTCTGATAGCAAATGCCTTCTTTTTGGGGCAAGGCATTCTCTTCATCAGCAACACAAATTTTAGAAGGTGCTGTTTTCTGCCTCTGCCTGGTGTGTGTGTGTGTGTGTGTGTGTGTGTATGTGTGTATTTACACATTTTGTAATTGTTTTTGTAAATGTTTTCAGCACTACCTTTGTTTTTAATTAGAGGAAAACTTCCAGTAACTTTTTTGGGAGGATGGATGGGTCAGTTTTAAAAGGCAGCTCTGTTCTGGACCGTGGGATAAATCTGTATGTGCAAAGATCAGCCATCCCAGCTCAACATAAGAGGGAACAGTGTGAAATGTTAGAACCTTGACAGAGGGGGAAGAATTGTGACTGCAAAGAGACCAGGATGAAAAAAAAAGCTGAACTAGTTTTCTTTTTCTTTCTGCAAAAAACACCAAAAGAATGAAAGAACATTAATATAAAGAGGTTGGGTGGGTGCATTGCTTTTATGACTATCAAGCCTAAGAGCCCAACTGCAGACTGAACAAATTATTAATGACAATGATTAAAATATAACACACAGGGTTTATCTTTGCCCATCAGACATTCACTCCCACAATCCTTCAGTGTTAACCACATCTACATTACTAGTTATCCTACAGAATAATACATGCACATGATCTCCCCTTCTGTATGCCACAAAGAACAAGAGCGAGGAAGATTTCTCCCAGCCAAATATTTCTGGATAATTGATGGATACAACATAAAAAATGTGCACGAACTCAGTTTAAGGATTAGCGAAAAAACATCTACAACCACAAGACAAGCAAGATGGGAGACAAAACAATTTTCTGACTTCGAAGGCATAACAAATTCTTCTTGTTGGCTAAATTTTCAGTGAGATTCCCTTCAAACTGAAGAAATCCCACAGGTGAAGCTTAACACATGGGATGGGTAGATGATAGCCTGGTAACAAAAAAGAGTAAGGTATGAAGAACCAGCAAGTTATAGTCATTGGTATATTGAACTAGGAATGGGTGATCTGGGTTCAAATCCCTGCTCTGTCATGATGCTCACTAGATAACAGCAGGGTCTTGTCCCAGCCTATCCTATCTCATAAGGTTGTTGTAAGTACAAGAAGAGGAGCTTTTCATGAAAATCCTCACTTATTGGAGGAAGGATGGGATAGAATAACTAACATTTGCTCCCATCATATTATTGTCCTCTTGAATCAAATTACCAAGTGTAAGTATAGTACTGTCAGGCCTAGCCCAAGGAACTCCAAGAGACAATGCAAATTCAGTTCAGCTTGTTTATTAGCTACAACCTCTAGCAAGAAGCTTCCCAGACTGAAACTCCAGCTCCCAAGCCATCCAGTCACAACAGTGTGAAATCCTCAGGGAGGTGCCAGTCTCATCCTCTTGTATCTCCCACGCTCCTCTGGCGAGCTAAGAAAATGTTTATATCTCTGAGCCTGGCCTTCATAATTCCATTCCAGCACAATTATGCTGTAAATTCCTTATGGAAACACTTTGATGTTTGGAAGGATGAGCATTTGTGAATGGGATTGTCAGG